TGAGACTCCAACTCAAAAAAAAAAAATTCCAGAAAAAGTTCTGTTGTTGCTGAGGTACACAGTGTGCTCAGGACTTTTCCTTATTCCCTGAACAAGACAGTACAACAACTATGGAGACGGTGTTCCCACTGTATTAGGTATTGTACGTGACCTACAGGTGATTTATTTACTTATTTATTTTATTTTATTTTACTTATTTTTTTTGAGTTGGAGTCTCATTCTGTTTCCCAGGCTGGAGTGCAGTGGCACACACGCTCACAGCCATCCCAGCATCGACCTGCTGGGCTCTGGCAATCCTTCCGCCTCAGCTTTCCAAGTAGCCAGAACTATAGGCACACATGACCATGCCCAGCTAATTTTTGATTTATTGTAGAGGTGAGGTCTCCCCAAGTTGCCCGGCTGGTCTCAAAGCCATGGACTCAGGCAACCCACTCACCTTGGCCTCCCAAATTGCTGGGATTACAGGCTGAGCCATCAAGCCCGGCCGAGGTGATTTATTATTTTTATTTTTTATTTCTATTTTTTTGAGTCAGAGTCTCACTCTGTCACCCAGTCTGGAGGGCAGTGGCACACTCACGGCCACAGCACCTTGACCTGCTGGGCTCAGGTGATTCTTCTGCCTCTGCCTCCCAAGTAGCTGGAACCACAGGTGTGTGCCACCATGCCCAGCTAAATTATTTTTGGTTTGTGATAGAGATAAGGTCTCATCAAGTTGCCCAGGCTGGTCCTGAACCCCTGGACTCAGGCAATCCTCTCACCTCCACCTCCCAAAGTGCTGGGATTACAGATGTGAGCCACCATGCCCAGCTTAGAGATGATTTAAAGTACAGGGGAGGGTGCGCCTGGGGTCTATGCAAATCCTACACCATGTTATATCATGGACTTGAGCACCCGCAGATTTTGGTGTCCAAGTGGGGTCCTGCAACCAACTCCCTGCAGATACTGAGGGACAGCTGTAATGTGGCATGTCATATGTCGAGGCACAGTGATGACAGGTTTTGACAGCCCCAGAGCTTATTAGACCTGTATTCAATCACAAATGGCACTCTGGGCAATGCCTAGGAATGGGCCCCAAGCCCCTTGGGGATAGGTGTGACAGACACAGGGCTGTAAGGACGGTCTGGAAATCACACCTGGGTCCTCATCCTAGGATTGCCACCAACCAGCAGGGCATGGTGGCTCACACCTATAATCCCAGCACTTTGGGAGGCCGAGGTAGGAGGATCTCTTGAGGCCAGGCATTCAAGAATTGCCAGTTGCCGACTGTTAAGGCCTCCACAGCTGACCCCTGTCTGTGTGCCTCGACTGGCCTTGAGTCCCTCTGTGGACACTGCTGGAGGGTCAGACATCCCACCCACCCAGTCACTCCGGTCACTCCAATCCTCTCCCCTTCCCCGGACTTTCCTTGAGTGCCCCCTCCTCTGACTGAAAGAACAGCCCAAGAGGCCACCTCCTGGTCAGGTACAGGTGAGGAGCCTGGTCCTGACCCGTGGCCACTCTCACCCTCTCCTCACACCCACAGCTCCAGGGCAAAGCACCTACCGCCCACCCCACCAGCCTCCCGGGCGCTGGGCCTCCACCCTCAGCAGGCTGCCTCCTGCCCTGGCTTGTCGGGAAGGGGTGCCGTGTCGGCACAGGATCGTTCGGCGCCTTAGTGAGCTCCCTATGTATGTGTTCCGTCCTGTCCACCCTAGGGTTAGGGAATACAGTGTATGGACCTACTGAATACATGCGCACGTGGACTGCAAGGTGGAGGCCCAAGTCCTCTCCTGGGTTCCGAGTGGTGCCTCTCTCACCCCCAACCCACATGCCAGAACAATGAGGGGGCGGGGGGGGGCGGACAGGAGGGCGTCAAGCCCCTGGCTCTGTCATCTCCCGCTAGGTGGCAGCCCCAACCTCGAGTGCCAAGGGAAGGGGGAATCCCCCAAAGCTGAGCCCACCCGCCGCGAAGGAGCAGGAAAAAGTGACTGGGAAAGGCGGAAGTTGGATGGTCCCACCCTCCACGAGAGGAAGAAGAGGAGCCAGACACAGCTCAGGGGTTCGGTCACCGCTCCAGGGCCCCGACATCTAGAAGCCGGGGGTCTCAGGGCCTGCTCTGGGACCCTTGGAGCTCCAGGACCGTGTCCCGGCCGCCGCGGGAACCACCCACCTGCTGACAGGGGGTGCAGCCGGCTCAAGAAGTAAGTGGCCACTACCCTGGGAGACAAGGCTGCAGCTTCCCGGGATGCTGAAAGGGAGATGGCCCCCTCTTAGCGAGGTCACTGCAATCACTGCTTACTTCCCCCATGAAACTCCCTCCAGCGCATCAGAAGCCCCCAAAGAAATGTCTGCACTCGGGGCTTCCCTTGTCTCTCGGCTGAGACTCCAGAGGACGCTCAAGCCCACATGGCCCTGGCGGGCCCCGGGAAGGAGCAAGCAAGGGATCCGCGCGACTGCCCCCCTACCTGCGTCCGGATCCGCGCTCCTGGGCAGCAGCCGCCGGTCGGCTGGCGGACTACGGCCCCTCCGCGCGAGGCCCCGCCTACCTCCGTTTCCATTGGCCATAGGTCCGGGCTGCCGCGTTTCCATTGGCCATTCGTCGACGTAGAGGCGGGGCCAGCCTGGAATGCCGTGTTTTTTTCCCTACTCTAGTCACTCTCCTCCCCCTTCCTCCCTCCCACCACTCCCAGTTTCTAGGGATCATGTGATTGGGGAATCATGTGACACCGCAGCCCGCCGGGGCCCGGAGGTCGGACGTCGCCGTGCCGGTTCGGCGGGCGCCTGGGAGAGCTTGCTAGAGATGACAGCGCTCGTCTGGGACCTTGGCACCCCAGGGGACTGTCCCTTGGGTTAGGTCGAGGTTATTTACAGGATGTCCGCTTCTGGCCTTGGGATATTTGTGCATCCTCTTTCTAGTCTGTTCTGTTCCGTTCAGCAGCTAGGGCCCAGAGCGAGTTGAGGACAAAACTGAACTTTCCCCAAGCCCTTTCCTCGGGGTGCTGGGCGGGAGGGGGGAAGACAGGCTCAGACTAAATCTGATCGAGGTACAAGGCCGTGCCCCAGGTGCTGTAGATACATATAATTGGCCCCATGTTGGGAAGAAGAGGTTGAATTTCACCTTGGTGAGCTAACTCTGGAAGGACTTTAACTAGCAGGTGGGGGAGGGGTGGTGAGAAGAGCCCTGGGAAACCAGACAGGAACGGCAGCCTTGCCAGAGATTGAATGCCATGTTTAATGGGCTTGAGGTGCTGCTGGGTTCCCGGCACAGGCGGGGCTGGGGTGGAAACTGAGTGCAAGTGGCTTCCTGGTCTCAGTTGGCGCTGCCTTTGAGGAGTTGCACGGTGGATGAAAAGAGAAAACGTGCCTCCCAGAACAGACTCGCCAGCCACGAGAGCCAGACTGCTCAATGCCAAAGGGCCTGGGCCAGGCAGGGATGTCGACGGGAGCCGGGCCAGGAGGAAGGAGGAGAGCTCCAGGAAAGCTGGTGTCGCTTGGGGAGGGAGAGCCCTGCAGGCTGAGGGCGAGGCGGGTGTGGGAGGGGAGGGAGAGCCCTGCAGGCTGAGGGCGAGGCGGGCGTGGGGTGACAGCTAGCCAAGCCCAGGAGCGGCGGGAGTCTGCGCAGGGAAGGTGTGGCAGAGCCGGCGATCCTGTGGCAGGAGTTCTTATCCTGGAGCTGGAGCGGCCCCAGAGAGTGGATACGATGCCCGCTGATGATCGGGCTGCTCTGCCCGATGACACACGCGTGCTTATTTCCCTTCCTGTGTATCTTGAGGCTTGGGAATGTAGCTTCTGCTTTTGTTGAAATACACACATGGCTAGGCACAGTGGCTCAAGTCTGTGGTCCCAGCACTTTGGGAGGCTGAAACGAGAGGATTGCCTGAGCCCAGAGATTCAAGACCAGCCTGGGCAACTCGGTGAGACCTCGTCTCTACGATAAATCAAAAAATTAGAATGGTGGCGCGCACCTGTCATTCCAGCTACTTGGAAGGTTGAGGTGGAAGGAGCGCCTGAGCCCAGCAGGTGAAGGCTGTGGTGGCCATGAGTGTGCCACTGCACTTTAGCCTGGGCGACAGTGAGACGCTGACTCAAGAAAAAGAAACAATACACACGAAATTTTCATGAGATGTTAGGCAAATCGATACATCAGCCTATTATTAATCACTACCCAGAACCAAATAATATACACGCAGCCAGGTATGGTAGCGCGCGCCTATAGTTACAGCTACTTGGAAGGCTGAGGCGAAAGGATCACCA